GGACGACGCGCGCGCGGCCGCGGCGCCCGCGCGGCCCGCGGCGCCCGCGGCGCGGCCCCGCGCGGCCGCGGCGGCGGCGGCGCCGCCGCCCCACGCGGCGCGCGACGACGGCCGGCCGCGGCTCCCGTCCCACGAATCCCAGGAGCTCCTGCGGCAGCTCAGCGCGAACACGCGGCCGCCGCCGCCCCCGGGCGCCGCCGCGCCGGCCGAGCCGCGGCCCGAGCCGCGGCGCGACGCCGCGCCGGCCTACGACGCCGACGCGGGCGCCGCGCGGACCGTGAACCACGGCCTCGCGTCGCTCAAGCGCCACTGGACGGGCGGCCCGGCGGACGCCTACGGCGCGCCGCCCGCCAAGGCGTCGCGGCCCGAGCCGCCGCCGCGGCCCCTCAGCGTCGGCGGCTTCTTCGACGGCCACGACGCGCTCCTCCCCGCCGCGGGCGGCGCCTTCGACGACGACGACGCGATACTCAACGACTCCCTCCAGTTCCTCTTCGACCAGTCGTAGAATTCGCCCCCCGAAAGCCCCCCAAACTGCGCGCGCCGCTCCGGCGCCCGCATCGTGTGTGCACCCCGCCCCCCGCCGGCTCCCTTCCTCTGGAGTAACGGCGTGTTCGTTCGCATCTTGAGGGCGTCCTCTCTCTGCATCTCTCTCTCTCGCCGCTCCGCCGCCCGGTCCCCGGGCTTTTCTTCCGGCGCGTGGGTGGTATTGGAAAACACCGATGTGGCTTGACCTTGTTGGGGATCACACCGATGCTCAGGAAAGTCATCTTCGCCGCGCGGCATGCCTTGTCCTGGACCGGCCGGGCGCTCCCGGCCGGCCTTCTCGGCGGTCCCGACTTCGGGGAGGCGTCGGGCCGCCGACGGCGCCCCGCCGTGTCGGCGCGGGGCGCCGCGGGGGGGGAGAGGGTGGGGGAAACGTCTCATCGTTCATTCAGCCGTGTGAAGTTCCTGCGGGGTACCTGCGCGCACGGCAGGGGCGGGGGCGGAGGGGACGCGGACGGGGGCGGGGGCGGAGTCGCGCGAAAAAAGGAGCGCCCTAGCGGAGGTGCATCATCTTGCCCTGGGAGAGCGTCGCGGAGCGCTGCTTCTTGTCCTTCTTGCCGCCCGGGGCCGCGAAGCAGTCCCAGAAGCGGAGCGTCTCGTCGGCGCCCGCGGAGAGCACCGTCGAGCCGTCCGGCGACGTGCAGAGGCTCAGCACGCGGCCCGTGTGGCCCTTGAGGTCCTTGACGCGGGCCATGGTCGGGTACTTCCAGAGCGACAGCTGGTTCTCCGCGTAGCCGTGGCCGCTCAACAGCTCCTTCTCGTGCGGGTTCCAGGCGAGCGCGCAGACCTGGCTGCCCGTGTCGATGGAGTTGAGCGCGTCGCCGCCGCGCGACGCGTTCCAGAGCTTGATGCAGCGGTCCGCCGTGCCGCCGCCCGTGGCGAGGACGTGGCGGTCGTGGGGGCACCAGGCGAGCGCCTTGACGGCCGCGCAGTGCTCCGAGAAGACTTTGGACGGCGCCTGCGACCGCGCGCCCGTCGTCGCCGCGTCCCAGAGCATGACGTCGTTGTCGTTGCCGCCCGACGCCAGCGTCGTGCCGTCGGGGCTCCAGGCGAGGCCGCAGATCTCCTGCGCGTGGCCCACGCACGAGCCGACGGCGTGGTCGCGGATGCGCACGTCGTGGTGGACGACGGTCGCGTCGCGGGACCCGCTCGACAGCGTGTGGCCGTTCCAGGCCAAACTGCCGACGCGGGCCGCGTGGCCGTCCATGCGCCGCAGCGCGCGCGTCGACGCGACGTCCCAGAGCTCCGTCGAGCCCGCGGCCGTGCCGACGGCGAGGTGGCCCGCGCCCGTCTCGCCGGGGAGCCAGGCCACGGAGCAGACGTAGTCCTCGGCCTCCTCGAGCGTGAGGAGCTCCGTGATGGAGCCCGACGCCGCGTTCCAGACGTAGACCGTCGGGCCGAGCGCGACGGCGACGCAGTTGTTCGCGCCCCACGACGTGAGGTTGAGGTAGTAGTCGTCGAGGAGGTCGGGCGCGTCGAGCACGCGGCTCGGGGCGCTGGGGATGTGGCGCGTCGACTTGGCCTTGCGCCGCGACGCGCCCTCGAGGCCCGGGCCGCCGTGGTTCGCCGTGTAGAGCACGTGGAGGTGGTTCACGTAGCCCGCCTTCGGCGCCGGCGCCTTCTGCTTGTAGGCGAGGACGCGCGAGCCCTCCTCGCCGTCGACGCAGCCGTCCTTGAGCAGGCCCGCCTTGAGCGCCGCGTCGCGCTTCTGCGCCGCCTCGCCCTCGGACTCGTTCTCCGAGCCCTCGATCTTGTGCTGCGCGGCCTCGAAGTTCATCGCCGTCCGCGTGGGGATGAACCGGTCGCAGGACCGCTCCTTGGCCATCGCCTTGCGCTGCCTGGAGAGGGCGGGGGGGTCACACGGTGCGCGGCGGGGGGGCGGGGGCTTCGGGGGGCCGGCGGCGACTTCTGGATACGCGGCGTCGCGGTTTCTCCGGGGCGCGCGCGGCGCGCGGGGCGGGCGAAATCGACGGGACGCGGCGCGACGCGCCAGCGGGGCATGACGGACGACTTGACGTCCTTGGGGTTCTGCGCGGGGGGCGGGGGGTGCGTGCGGGGCGCTTCGGCGCGGCGTAACGGGATCGCGCCGCGGGGACGCGCGCGAGGCGCGCGCGGCGCGCGCGCGCGACGGGACGGGGGAGGGGACGTACGAGGATGTCCTCGAGGTCGGCGACGTTGTGATTCGTGTTAATAGCGAGTGCCATGGTCGTAGTAAGTATACTTCGTTAGGGTGTGCTTCGCTGTGGGGCGAGAAAGCAACGATGCGTTAGGCGCACCGGACCTGAGGCCCGACGCCGATACCGAATCCTTCCAACGGGAGTCTCAACGAGCACGAGCAGCATCTCCACGCGTGCGTGCAGCCGTGCACAATCCCCAGCGGCGCGCAGGCGTGGTCTCCGGCGTCGGCACCGCCGAACTCGGGGCTTGGTTCTTGTCGCATGCGAACGAGCGCCGCGTCTCCGCGCCGCCGACTCGGGGAGCCGCGCCGCAGGACGGGCACGTGTCGTAAGACGCGGGTCGCTCGGTTCCACAGAGACGCGTTCTAATCCAGTTTACTTGGCGACGACGTCGATCTTGCCCTCGCCGCGGATGCCGAGGGACGCGGGCGTCGCGTCCGGCGGGATGGGCCGCGCCTTGTAGGAGTAGCCGAAGGACCCGCCCTTCTTGAGCTTGGCGAAGACGTCGAAGGCCTTGGAGAAGGGGTCGTCGTCGTAGATCTTGAACTTCTTGGGCTTGGCGTCGCCGAGCGCGAACGCGAGGAGCACCTTCTCGCGCGGCGGCGGCGACGCCGCCTTGGGCGCCTTGGGCGACTTGGCCTTGGGCGCGGGCGAGCCCTTCGCCTTGGGCGCCGGCGAGCTCCTGGCGGCCTTGGCGGGCTTGCCCTTGGGCTCCGCGCCGGGCCGCGGCCGCTTCTTGCCCTTCGGGGGCGCCTGGACGTCGATGAGGTCGTCGTCCTCCATGTCGAGGGCCCGGGGCTTGGAGCCGCCGCCCAGGGTCTCGCCGTCGAACATGAACTTGCACTCGTAGACGTCGACGCCGCGGTCCGCCGCGTAGTTGTCGAAGAGCCGCGAGAACGGCTCGTCCTCGTGGATGTGGTAGACCCGGGGCTGGCCCTTGTCGTCCTTCGTGCGCACCTTGATCGCCAGCTTGGCGCCGCTGAAGGTCTCCTCGGCCGGCGCCGCCGCCTCCTCGTCGTCGTCCGCGGCGACCGCCGCCTCGCCGCGCCGCCGCCGCGGCGCGGGCGCGGGCTCCGCCTCGTCCTCCGACGACGCGACGAGCACCTCGCGCTCCGCGAGCCGCAGCGCGTCCCGCGCCTGCCGCGCCTCCTCGAGGATGCGCAGCCGCCGCTTCGTGTCCTCGTCCGCCGACGCCGCGCCGTCGTCGTCGTCGTCCGAGTCGTCGTCGTCGTCGTCGTCGGCGATCTCGATGACGGGCGCCATGGCCTCGATCTCGTCGTCCGAGTCGCTGCCGCCGCGCTGCAGCCCGCGCGGCACGTTGCCCGACACGCGGCTGCTCGCGGGCGCGGGCGCCGGCGCGCTCTTCTTCTTCTTGCCCTTCTTGTCGTCCATCTCATCGTTCTGGACATCGACCATGGCCGCCTCGAAGCCCTCGTCGTCGTCGCTCGAGGAGTCGTCGTCGGACTCTTCGACGACCTTTTTCGTGCGCTTTTTGAAGGTGAAGACGCTCATATTGTCGGCGCTCCCTGGCCTGCGCGTGCCAACAGGCTTGGCGTTTTTTGCCTCGGCTCCGTCAATACTCCGTCCGACGTCGTTTGCCTTTCGGCGCGGACCACCGTCGTTGCCGCCGCCTGCCGCCAAATCATGGCGGATCAGAAGACCATCAGCCTTAGCGGCAGCGTGGAGATGGTCCAGGAGTTCTTCGAGTTCGCGATCAACAGGTGCGCCCCGCTGCGTCGCGCGCGCGCAAACCCCGATGGCCGCACCCCGCGCGCAGCATCCTCTACCAGCGCGGCATCTACCCGCCGGAGGAGTTCAAACGCGTCGCCAAGTACGGCCTGTCGATGATGGTGACGAGCGACGAGGGCCTGAAATCGCGCGTCGCCCGGCGCCGCGCGGCCGCGCGCGGCGCGCCGGCGGAGGTTCCGCCGCCCGCAGGTACCTGTCGAAGATCCTGTCGCAGCTGAAGACGTGGCTGAACACGGGCGAGGTGCAGCGGCTCGTCGTCGTCGTGACGGGCGTCGAGACGGGGCAGACGCTGGAGCGGTGGGTCTTCGCCGTGCAGGCGTTCGCCGAGGGCGAGAACGCGGAGAACGCGGCGCCCGAGGCGAAGACCGCGGCGGTCAAGGAGATCACGAAGCAGATCCAGGCGATCATCCGCCAGATCACGGCGTCCGTGACGTTCCTGCCCCTCCTCGAGGAGGCCTGCGCCTTCGACCTGCTCGTCTACGCGCGGAAGAAGGCCGACGTGCCGGGGACGTGGGAGGACTCGGACCCCAAGTACATCACGAACGCGCAGGAGGTCAAGCTCCGGTCCTTCACGACGTCGATCCACCAGGTCGAGGCCGCCGTCTCCTACAAGGCCGACGACGTCTAGGCGCGCGCGAGTAAAGACGGGCCAAGTTGCACCACACACGATTACAGGTCCGCGCCGCCGTCCGGCGCGCCGGGGACGATGCCCCGCGCCCGGAGCTGGGCCTCCATGATGCGGAGCTGGGCCTGCATCTCCTCCATCTTCTCGTTGAGCGCCGCGTGCCGCCCCGCGTCGTTGCCCCGGTCGTCCGCCGGCGGCGGCGGCGCGGCGACTCCCCGCCCGCCGTCGGCGTCCGGCGCGGCCTCCTCGGGCACGGGCGCCGGCGGGGGCAGCTCCGTGGCCCAGGCGATGCGCTGGCGCCGCTCGTCGTAGACGCAGGGGAGCGCGCTCTCCGGGTCCGAGCACTCGCGCTGGTCCCAGAACATCCGCTCCGTGGCCGGGTCGTACCAGCAGTCGCGCGTGCGCTCCTCCTCGTCCTCGACGACGGGCGCCTCGAGGGACTCGCCGAGCAGGTCCGGCGCCTCGTCGACGACCGGCGCCGCCTCCGGCGCGGCGTCGCCGTCGCCGCCGCCGTCGTCGTCGGGCGGCGCCCAGCACGTCTCGCCCGACACGGCGTCGTAGTAGCAGCGCACGTAGCGCGGCCGCGCGGCGCCGGGCTGCTGCGTGTCCGCGTAGGCGACGACCTCGGCGCCCGGCGGCGGCTCCCAGGCGAGCTCGTTGGTCTCGGCGTCGTAGCAGCACTCGCGGAAGTCGCGCTTGAGGCACGCGGGCCGCCGCCACTGGCTCAAGCCGCTCGCGGTGTGGTAGTAGTAGGTGTCGCCCTCGGGCGTGACCACGGCCTCCCAGGCGCTCGCCGCGCCGGCGTCCGCCGCCGGCCTGAGGGGCCGCTCGTCGCCCGCGGGCGTCGCGGGAGGCCGCTCCGCGACGTCGCGCTCCGCGCGCGGCGGGCTCTGGGCGGCCGCGGGCGACCCCGGCGGCGCCTCGTCGAGCGCCACCTTGGACCCGCGCCGCGCGGAGCGCAGGGTCTCCAGGGTGTAGGGCGCCGCCGACGACGCGCGCCGCCGCCGCCGCTCGCCGCCCGTCGCGGCCGCGTAGGACGCCTCGGGCGCGCGCTCGGGCGCGCGCCGCGACGGCCGCGCCTTCGCCGACGCGCTCCGCCGCGCGTCGCCGGGCGGGTAGCTCACGCGGCCCGCCGACGCGATCTCCACGGGCTCGAGGCGCCAGCGCCGCCGCTGCCGCGGGGCGCTCGACGCGCCGCCGTCCTTGCCGCTCCGCCGGCCGCCCTCGCGTGAAAGCACGGCGCGCTGCAGCGCCGTCAGCGGCACGTCGTCGCCGGCGCCGTCGAAGGGCCGCCGCAGCACGCTGTTCAGCGACGGCATGGGGGGGCGCGCGGCTGCCGAGGTGGTCCTGGCAGACGACGACGAAGCCCTTGGCCTTGAGGGCCGCCGCGAGCGTCGACTTGCCGCAGCCGGGGATGCCGCAGAGCACGACGAGGCTCAGGCGCGCGTCGGTGCCGAGCGCCGCCGCCGAGAACTTTGGTCGGGACGGCGGGCTGCGCACAGGACGGGCTGCCTCGTCGCATCCATCGCGGCACCGTGCCGGCCTCGCCGGCCTTTGCGATTTCTCAGCATCCGCGGCGCGCATCGTCCCGCGCACCCAAACGGCGCGATGTCGGGCTTCGCGTCCGGGTACCAGCTCAAGCGGCTCCGGGGCCTGCTCGAGAAGAAGTCGAGCGACGGCACCTGGCGCGTCCAGTTCTTCACGGCCCACAAGTCGAAGCTCTACTACATGGACCCCGACGCGGACCTGACGGAGCAGCCGCCGCGCGCGTCCATGGACCTGCTCGAGGGCCTGGCGAAGATCGAGCGCAAGGGCGAGAAGCTCGTGCTCTGGGTCGACGACAAGCGGCGGCACCAGCTCCGGAGCTGCCGCGCGCCGTCCGACGCCGACGGCCCGCAGCCGTCGCTCGACGACTGGGAGCTGAGCCTCCGCGAGCGGCGCCTCGTGGCGAAGAAGCTGCGCGAGGAGCGCGCGGCGCGGCGCGCGGCGCGGCCCGCGCGGCCGAGCCGCGAGGACCTGCGGTCCGCGGACTACGCGCCGCCGGCGGCCGAGTCGCCGCGGCTCGCGCCGACGCCCGAGCGGCCCCAGTACAGCGGCGCCGCCAAGGTCTACGTCGACAACAGCAAGCCGCGGACGCCGCGGCCCACCCTCGCGTCGCCGGGCATGCCCCGGGGCCCGACGTCGTCGTCGTCGGCCGCGGCGGCGTCCTACGCGCGGCGCGACCCCGCGCCGTCGCCGGGCATGCCGCGGGGCCCGACGGCGTCCGGGCCGTCCTACTCGTCGCGCGCGCAGCACGGTGCCAAGCCCGCCATGGAGCGGTCGCCCGGCGGCCGGCCCCGGAGCGACCGGGAGCAGGCGTCGTGGGACGCGTTCGTCGCGAGGACCGCCGCGGAGAACGCGGCCGACGAGGCGGCGGCGCCCGCGCCCGCGCCGGCGGCGGGCGACGCGCGGCCCCGCGCCGTGTCGCCGCGGTCGTCGTCGGCCGCGTCGAGCCCCCGGAGCCCGCGCGCGTCCGACGGCGCGCTCGACCGCTTCCTCGCGGCCGACGTGGACCGCCTCTCCATGACGCAGCTCCGCGAGGGCCTCATGGCCGCGGGCTTCCGCGACGTCGACGGCTCGGAGCCCGCGCTGCGCCGCAAGGCCGCGGACCTCCAGGACCGGCTGCTCGGCCGGCCGCCCCAGCCGGCGCGCGCCGCGCCGGCGTCCGTGCGCCAGGGCCTCGACGACGACGAGGACGACGACGACGACGACGACAAGGCCGCGCGCGCGAAGATCATCGCCTTCTACCAGAAGCACAACCCGAACAAGGTCCGCGACGTCGACGCGCTCATCATCAAGTACCGCGACGTCGGCGTCGGCGCGTCCGAGCTCCTCCTCGCCGTCCAGAAGAAGTACGCGCGCTCCCAGGAGAAGAAGTCGAACCAGTTCTCCGTGTAGAAGGCGCCTAATCGACATTGTTGCACTCGGCGTTGCCTTTGGCAGCGTAGCTTCTTCTGAGATTTCTGTTCGCACCACGAGCCATCCAAAAGGCGGGCAGCCTGGTGCCCGTGGAAGCGCGTCGACGAGCCGGCGGCGACCCATGGCGCCGCGGGGCGAGCGGCGGCACCTGCAGACGCCGCCGCAGAAGGGGGCGTCCCAGGAGCTCGCGCCCATTCTCGGCGGCAAGTCGTCGGGCCCGGCGCAGCTGAGCTTCGGCGCGTCGACGGCCGTCGGCGAGGGCGCGGCCCTCGACGAGCTGCGGAGCGCGCGGTCCGGCGCGGCCTGGGTCCTCGACAAGACGCTGCGCGAGAAGGAGGAGGCCAAGTGGGAGGCGCTCGTGGCGTCCGCGAGCGGCAAGGCGCCGCCCAAGGTCGCGGCGTGCCTCAACCGGTGCGCGCCCGCGGTCGCGTGGGCCGCCGTCGGCTGCGAGGTCTGCGTGCCCGTCTACGTCAAGGTCTTCAAGGCCCTCTACTACGTCCTCTCGAAGCTGCCCACGGACGTGCTGGGCATCGTCTGGGGCCTCTGCCTCGTCTTCTTCGGCGGCGTCTACCCGCTGACGATGGCGGCCTTCGAGGCCTTCCGCCAGTGCGGCGGCGCCGACACCTACGCGGCGCTCCACGACCTGCAGGTCCAGTACGGCAACGCGAAGAAGGCCCTCGAGGACGACGACGCGCTGGACGCGGACGGCGACGGCGTCGCGGACGTCGAGCAGCGCGCCGTCGCGGAGACGATCCGGCGCAAGAACTACCTCGTGCTCACGGCGACGGACCCCGTGGCCCTAGACCGCGGCTTCAAGGGCCTCTACACGGCCTGGGTCGCCGTCATCGCCGTGCTCAAGATCCAGTTCGCGCAGATGGTCGCACTCGGCTCGGCGATCGGCGACTTCCTCGGCCAGCTCTTGCGCGTGCCCCTGACGCAGGTCCTCGTCCACGTCATGGACAAGGAGACCCAGAAGTGGATCCCGACGATCATCTTCTACACGTGCAAGGTCGTCGCCATCGCCGTCGCGATCCACGTCCAGAAGCTCCTCTCGGCGTTCTACAGCGCGGTGCGCGGCGGGCTGCTCGTGTCGCGCAACGTCATGTACGTCCTCGACCGCAAGGGCGTCTTCAAGCTCGACCCGAACGAGACCTACGTCGACGAGGTCACGGGCTGGGCGCTGGCCGCGGTCGGGTTCTACCTCCAGTTCAGCGGCGGCTTCGCGATGCCGCCCTTCGTGCGCGTGATCCTCTGGCCCTTCGAGACGGCCGAGGCGGGCCTCCTCTGGGGCATCATGGCCGCCGACGAGACGCCGCAGACCGCGTGAGCGCCCGGGGGGAAGGGGCGACGGTAAGGTGGGCGTTTGGCACGGGTCCGAGCGAGGCTCCCGAGGGCCGCACTCGCAAGTTTTCCGCCAACGAGCCTTCTTGCCACAGGCCGAGTTGTTTCCTTTGCGAGGCCTCGAGGTGCAATCCATTCACAAAGTGGGTTCCACAAGCTGACTGGCTTCGGCAGCCTGTTGCCGCAGGGCCGCATGGTTCTCGGCTGGCTCCTCGGCCGCGCGGCGCCGTCGCCGACGCCGC